GCAAGTTGACAGGAGATGATGTAACTACCACGGACACTTCGCCTTTTTGTTCTTCGTCTCATTTCCAATGCACTGCAACTCTGCGAAGCATTCTCACATCTATAAAACAGATGACCCATCATTCTCTTTTACTTGTCTGTCTGTGTTCTTGCTTTTATGCTGCAAGTACCTGCCTCCCCTCAGAACTTGGTCCTACTACACTTCCGAGCAATCCTGGAATCAATGCTATACTTTGGACGGTGATGCTTGCTTTTAATCCACTTTCCTTGAGATGTGGGCTGAACAACATGAACAGAATGAATGCCACTAAACCGTGCAAATCCTTTATTATATACGTATTTATAATAAAATTGTTTTTAAAAAATATATCATGGTGAATGCACCATGTGTTGAAGAGGTATGTAAAAAATGCAGTTGACCAACACAGACACCACAGAGTTAGTATTGGCTCAGAAGTTCCTTTTTTCTCTCTTCCTTTCCAAACATATTCTTGACCCATTTTTTTCTTGTTTGAGGTAACATATCAAAATGTGTAAAGTGCAGTGAGGCGAAACATGAAGTACACAGTAATGTAGGGAGAGTGTGGGTCTGCCCAGACCACACGGGAGCAAACGAAGAGGGAAAGAGAGAGAATGGACCACATCCTAGCCCACCAAGCCCGAGGACGACACTCCTGCTCAGAGCAGCCAAGGCACAGAGAGGACTGTAGGACTGGCCCCACCACAAGACACATTCTCCCCTCACTGACCCACAGCACTGCAGGGGGCAGCCCTGGAGACACATTGTGAGAAGTGTGTCTGTCTGACTCTCCCACATCGGGGTGGAATAAGAAGGAAGCTCAGCAGAGCAGCAAGGGGAGCAAAGCAATGAAGTCCCTGAGGAATCCTGAAAATAGACTTCAGACTCGGAGGGCAGGGCTTGGCACCTCATCAGACCCGATCAGAAAACGTTCATAAGAGTCAACGGACAGACCTAGAACTATTTATAGGCTTTTTCTTTGTTTTTCATGTCCATCTATATAAGATAGGCAGGATTGTTTACAATCCTGAGGAGAAAACAACAGACCAATGGTTTGGGGGGATCATGGGAGAGGAAGAGGTGGGGGAGAGGGAGCAGGGAGTCAACAAACCCAGGGACAAAGGAACAACATGAGATCAAAAATCAATGGCGAGGAGGGTGTAGAATGCTTGGTGGGGCTTGGTCAAGTGCAATGTGGCTGAGAGGAATTACTGGTGGTTGAATGAAGGTTGAAAATGATAGTGGGACAGGAGGAAAGTAAAAGGAAATAGAGCAGCGGTTCTCAACCTGTGGGTCACAACCCCTTTGGGAGTCGAAAGACCCTTTCTTTCACAGGGTTGTCTAAGACCATCGGAAAACACATATTTCCAATGGTCTTAGGAACCGAGACACCACTCCTCTATCTGTCTCCAGGCGGGTCCACCCACACACAGAGACGCCCACATACTAGTGCCTGGCATGAAGACGTACCCATGCTACACCATGCTTCAAGCAAAATTTCATTTATTTGTACTTAGAAATAAATATTTCACAATATATGATAATATCACTATGCTTTAATTATGTTTTATTTGTAACAATGAAAATACATTTTATGATACTTACCTGGCAGGGGAGATACCATGTTCTTGAAGGTGGTTTTACCAGGGCAAGACTTATCCATTGCACTCTGGATGTGCTGACCTCTGCGATTTCCCCAAATGTGGGAAACTAGATTGCATAATTTGTGGTAGTGGGGGCTGCCTTTGTGCTCTCCTCTGTAAAAAAATACATTTTATGGTTGGGGGTCACCACAACATGAGGAACTGTATGAAAGGGTCACAGCATTAGGAAGGTTGAGAACCACTGCCTTAAGGTATCATTTCTGCACCCATTTTGACTTCAGCCATTGTATTCGGAAGGTGAGTGTCACAGAAGGCCAGGTTATTAGAACAGTGTTCATGCGTTGAGGGGGGCCTTGAACAGAGGCCCAATGTCTGTCTGCTACCTTAATAATTAGCATATAAATGTATGTACATAGACCTAGATCCCTATCATTATGTATTAATATACATAATGTACATGTCTGATTTATAACTCTATTGATGTCTTTTGCTTCCTAGTTCTTTCCTCTAGTTCAGTGGTTCTCAACCTTCCTAATGCCAACAACTCTTTAATATAGTTCCTCATGTTGTGGTGACCCCCCAACCATAAAATTATTTTCATTGCTACTTCATAGCTGTATTTGCTACTGTTATGAATCGTCACGTACATATCTGATATGCAGGATGTATTTTCTTTTTTTTTAAGGTGGTAAGTGCTCATATTTATTAATATATTTAACATTTTTACCTGAAATAAAATATTAATAAATTTTAAGCTTCAAGTTCAAAGGTTAATACTACACATCTTCAAAGATATATATAATGACCAAAGGTTCAGAAAAGTCAAATTATTACTTTCTAGTAAATAGAAACTACATGAAAGTATATATATAATAGGATTTTCCAATAGCAGATAAGCATGACTTAGAACTCTTCTTTTTTTCTTTTTTCTGTATTTCATTTAGATTAAACCAATAATGTTAATCAATTATTGAACCATATTCTTTTTTATGCCACTCTTAACTTTTAGTAACTCTTTTTATTTTTTAAATCATTTTATTAGGGATTAATACAACTCTTATCACAATCCATACATACATCAATTGTGTAAAGCACATTTGTACATTCATTGCCCTCATCATTCTCAAAACATTTACTCTCCACTTAAGCCCCCGGCATTAGGTCCTCATTTTTCCCCTCCCTCCCCGCTCCCCCTCCCTCATGAGCCCTTGATAGTTTATAAATTGGTATTTTGTCATATCTTGCCCTGTCCGACGTCTCCCTTCACCCACTTTTCGGTTGTCTGTCCCCCAGGGAGGAGGTCACATATAGTTCCCTGTAATCGGTTCCCTCTTTCCCACCCACTCTCCCTCTACCCTCCCCGTCTCGCCACCCACACCACTGGTCCTGCAGGGCTCATCCGCCCTGGATTCCCTGTATTTCCAGTTCCCATCTGTATCAGTGTACAGGATGTATTTTCTTTGTTACAATTTAAACACCCTTAAAGCAGAGTGATTAATCCCAAGAACAGTATGTAATTATATATTGTGAAATATTTATCTCTAATGACAAATCAATGACATTTTGTCTTGAAGCATGGTGAGCACGGGTAACAGTCTTCAGGCTGGGTACTTGTATGTGGGCGTCTCTGCATGTGGCGGACCCGCCTGGAGACGGATAGAGGAGTGGTGTCTCGGTTCCTAAGACCAACGGAAATATATGTTTTCCGATGGTCTTAGGCAACCCCTGTGAAAGGGTCTTTCGACTCCCAAAAGGGTTGTGACTCACAGGTTGAGAACCACTGCCTTAAGGGGAGTGTAACAAACATTACCAGGGGCAGGATGGGCAATGTGACATTGTACAGTAACTCCTGAAACCTATAGCAACAATACCTCCATTGTCTTTCAGATCCCTGCCTCAGCAAGAACACTTGTAACTGCTAGGTGACCTAGAACGCTGGTTCCAGCCCTCACCCGGGATTCGAACCAAGACTAAAGCAGCCATGTGCATGCTCAACTAGTTATGCTAAGGATGCCTGATGCCCTTGCTACAGGTTCCAGTTTGAATTCCCATACTCCGACTTGGCCCAGTAGTGTGCATGTTTCCACCCACTGAAAAAGGGATTCAGGGATGAGTTTGTAAAAACATGACTACCCATGACTGCCCAAACCAGAGGTTAACAGCCCTACAAAATCTGTCTTTGTAAGCTTGAAGGGAACCTGCTGCCTGTGGAGTGAGTTTCTCCTCAAGGCTTCTCCTACAGGTCTCCATCTTTAATAAATGGCTTGATACGGAGTTGACTTTTTGGCCACACCCATCTCCAAGGACATGTTCTTGTAGAACTGTCACAGAGGCTGTAAATCTTTGTGGACACAGACCACCAGGTCTTTCTTCCCCAGGGCCCCCAGGCGGGTTTGAACCACCAACCTTTGTTTGGGTCAGTAGTCAAGTTTGAACTATTTCCACCACCGAGGGACCAATGGAATTGGACAATAAGTGGTTTGTATCTGGCTTCTTTCAGTCAACACATTTTGAGACTGGGCTGATGTTGCAGTGTTGTCACCCATTGCTTTTTCTTAACCCATTGTCATATTTCATTTTATAGACTTTGTGGGAAGGGGCCTTAGAAACTAACCAGCCTCCCACTTTACCAAGAAAATACAAGGCCCAAGGAGGGTCTTTCCCAGCCAAGGTGGTCCTCCAAGGTCTCCTTACTGCCAGTCTAGACCTCACCAATTCCCTTCTGACTTAGGCTCTTCTAAATATGAAGTAGCTCATGTTTTCAGAGATGTTTACCGGGCCTGCTGTTTACACTGAAACATACTGGCGAGCAGAAGAGCGCAGCGGGAAGACACCAATAGCTTATCTAGCTAGTGGGAAATGGGGAAGCCTGGTAGCTTAGTGCATTAGGCTGCTAACTACAAGGTCAGCAGTTCTAAATGACTAGCTGCTCCTCAGAAGAAAGCTGAGGCTTTCTACTCCCATAAAGATTTACAGCCTTGGGAAGCCCCTAGGAGCCGTTTAACTCTGCCCTACAGGGTCACTAAGAGTCTGAATTGACTCAATGGTGGTGAGTAATCTAGCTTTAGGCCAACAATTTCTAGCAGTAAACTAGGCCTCTGCAAATCTTGCATTTAGATTTGAAAAGGGGCCTTTATATCCCCAAGTACTCTGAAAGACCCAGGCCCCCCAGGCCCCAGCAGGAGCTACTTGAAAGATACTTCCACTTTTTCTGCTCTGCAACGTTTCATGTCTTAGCCAGCCACATCCTGGGTTTCCACAGGACTCTTGGCTAATTTCACAGCAGGTGGTGGTTTTGAAGGGAGAGGCCAAGGCAAGCTCCCCCAATTCTGCAGGGAAAGCCTCTCTGCCGGTTGAGGTGAACCCAGCTCACTGGAGACCGACTGGGCAGGAAACTAGCCTTCTGGGATAGAATGGGTTACCGACCAGCTAGTGGTGTCCTCCGGGAGTCTGAGGGGCTGGGCTTGGCCACAACTCTTCCAAGGAGCATGACCTGTCTGCTCCTCTCCCCATTTAGCCTTCTGATCAGAAAATGCTGGCGTCCTCAGCTGTTTTGATAGTGATGCTCAAGGAAATTGTGCATATTTTTCTGCCGTGGGAGAAGAGTCCCTTAGCCTGGTTTTCAGTTAAGAGACTAATCCAGCTTAAAAAGAAATCTGAGTTTAAGCCTTGTCTTACAGCATGGTTCTCAACCTTCCTAATGTGCACTGGCAGACCATTCGTGGGAGAATCTGTTTAAAAATGCCTTCTTCCTGTTGCCAGAGATGTGCCCAGAGAAGGCCGATTTATTTAGTACAGTGAATCTTTCAGGACCTACGATTACACGAAGGACTGAAGAAATGGGAGACAATTTGCTTCAGCATTTGCAAAACTCCGCAAAAAAAACCCAACTTTCCTATTTGTGGTTGGCACGCGACCAAAGTAATGATGTTCGTGATTCTGCACAACTTCTAATTTTTATTCGTGGGACGAATGACTATTTCGAAGTTACAGAGGAGCTTGCTTCACAGCAAAGCATCAAAGGAACAACTACAGGAGAGAATATCTATGAAAAGGTTTGCCAAACTGTGAATGGTTTGGAGCTGGACTGGGGAAACTAGCCAGTGTGACAATTGATGGTGCTCCTAGTATGGTGGGTCTAAGAAAGGAGTAATTGCTCGCATTAACCAAGAGATGAACAAAAATATAACCATTCTCATCCAATAGCCATACACTGCCTCATCCACCAACAAGCGCTGTGTAAGTAAACCACTGAAGTGGGACTCTGTTATGAAAATTGTGGTATCTTGTGTTAACTTCATTAGAGCTAATGCACTAAACCACAGACAATTTCAGGAATTTCTGTCTGAGCTAATGTTGCCTATGAAGATGTTATGTACCACACAGAAGCCCATTGGCTGTGTCAAGGGAGAATTTTGAAACATTATTATGACTTGTTTCCACCGATTACAGCTTTTCTGCTTTCAAAAAACAGAGGGGTACCAGAGCTCAATGATGTGGAATGGAAATGGCACCTTGCCTTTCTGACAGATGTAGCAGAATTACTCAACAGTTTCAATGTGCAACTTCAAGGAAAGGGGAAGCTCATCTGTGATATGCAATCACATGTGAAAGCATTTGAAGTAAAATTAGGCCTCCTCATCAGACCAGTGGAGGAACATTTCTGCCATCTCCCCCAACTCAAAATCTGTTAGCGGAAAAACCATTGGTTGCATTCCCAAACAAAATGTGTGGATTCACTGGAAAAGTTGCAAAAGGAGTTCCAATTTAGATTTAAAGAGCTTCTTCTCCATGAACAGGACATACAGCTTTTCCGTAACCCATTTTCTATTGACACCGAAAATGTGAATACAATTTACCAAATGCAACTGGCTGAACTGCAGAATTGTGGCTCTCTGAAAGACGCATTCAAGTCCAGCAGCCTTCCTAAGTTCTACGCATCTCTCCCCTCCGAGACCGCCTGATCTCAGGAACCATGCACGCAAAATGGCAACCATCTTTGGCAGCACTTGTCTGTGAACAGACTTCCAGAATGAAACATCTGAAATCTCCAACCAGTCTAGACTAACTGATGCACACTTGTATTGCTTGTTGCGACAGCAGTGACAAATATGGAACCGGACATTGACCATCTCATTAGCAAAAAGCAGGCCCATAGTTCCCATTGAAATACTGGTAAGTTTGTTGATTTAACTTTACTTGTTCTTCATTTTAAATATTGTATTTGTTCTCATTTTGGTTTTTTACTTCAAATAAGATATGTGCAGTGTGCATAGGATTTTTTTTTTAAACTATAGTCTGGCCCCCCCAACGGTCTGAGGGACAGTGAACTGGCCCTGCTTAAAAAGTTTGAGGACTCCTGGCCTAGGCTGTTGAAATCACCCCTCCCGATATCCTGTCTCTCCCCTCGCTCCTGATGCCAGGCCTTTCCCCCACCTCCCATTACTCTGCAGTCCAGCGTTCATTTGCTGGGTCTCAAATAGATTAAGTCTCCACAGAATGTTTTCTGATCACTAACAAGGATGTAGCTAATCTCGACCTTAGGCACGGTGCTTGGAAAGTGGATTGCCTCTATCCATCTCCGGCCAGCCCATGCAGGGGCAATCTCTTAGGTGCGTCTGTGTGCCCTTGATGGAGGTCACTGTACTTTGGACAGTACAAGGGGCCATAATGTCAAGTCATGCCCTATGAGTCTCACTGATTGCCTTTGTTCAAAGGCCCTGGACCAATCATCTAAGTCCTTGTATCTTCTAACGTACAGGTCCCAGTCATGGTCCCATTCCTGCTTCTGTGGTCCCACTTGTTGACCTAACTTCCCAACCGACTCCTCAAAAACCATTCTCACCTCCCTCATCCAGGTGGTGTGTCTTTGTGTTCTCTTTTGTTGCTAGGTGCCATCGAGTGGTGTCTAACCCATGGGGACCCTCTACTCAACAGATCCGAACACTACACGGTCCTGTGCCAGCCTCACAATCGTTCCTATACCTAAACCCACTGAGGCAGCCACTGTGTCCACTGATATCACGGAGGGCCTTCCTCTCCTTCACTGTCCCTCCAACTTACCAAGCGCGTCCTTATGCAACCTGACAATACAGCCAAAGTATGTCAGGCCAAGTCTTGCCATCCTTATCTTTAGAGCACTCTGGCCGTACTATTAAGGCAAATCTGTTTGTGCTTGTAGCAATTCGTGTTTTCCAGCACGAATCAAATACATTTGATTCTTCTTCGGTCTTCCGTATTCCATGTCCCAATCTCTTTTAACACTCAATAGAGGTTCTTTTTACATATTTGAGATGAGGGTCCATTTGGTAACCTCCAACAGCCTTAAGATGGATTCAATTAACTGAGGGGCAGACAAATGAGAGAAAAGGCTCGTTTCTCAGTGTGGCCCATCCCTGGGGAGCTGGGGGCAAAGCCAGCAGTGGGCCTATGTCAGGAAGGCAGGCCTGCCGTGCCAGCACACACTTCAATGAGACCCCCGGGGTTCCTCAGCACAGGCCTTCAGAAAAGCACTGCTCCTGAAGATCCTTCGGATGAAGAAGCTTGAGCGCCGAGTGAGACAAGTTGATCAAAACTCAAAATGACTGCTCGGTAAGCAAAGCAGTTTTACAGATGTGTGAGAGAATGGGGGTCACAAGGCCTGGTTTGAAACTAGGGCTTGCTGACTGTGTGTCTCCAGCTTGGGCTGCCGTGTGCACACCATGTCGTCATGACCCAGCACCCTTGCAGGGTGGCTCTTTCAGTCCCCTTCAGCCCCGCCCGCCCGGTGTGGTGGATGACTAAGACCAGGTGTCTTCCTCAGCAGCTCCTTTCCAAAAGGGCTGAGGTGAGGGGCCAGATGAGGAGGAAGAGAATCGTTCATTGCATGGGCGAGCTGGGCTAGTTAAAAGCAAAGCACCCCGCGGCAAGACAAGACAAAACAGAGTTAAAGAAACAAAACACCACCACCACCTCTAAATTCTTTCCGTTACAGAATCCACACACATCGGAGACTTCACAATGCCAATCCCGCTCTTTACTTCCTCACAGCACAGACAGCCTGTCAGCCTCCTGAGCGCCTGCTTTACACAAGCCAAGGGCCAACGAGGAGCAGGCAGCCTACAGTGCTGGAAAGTGCACCTAGGACCCGCTGCCCAACCCCGAGTCTGAACACAGCCACGGTTCCCTGGAACAGCTTCACTGCATCTCTTTCTATAGCGTTACAGTTTGAACATGTATGCTTGTCAAGGTGTGCATAATCTACAATACACAGTCATTTCTGAAGCACTTGAGAATTTTAATGGGGGGGTGGGGGGACTTCAACACAGAGTTGTGACAATTATTTAAAACTTAAAATTACTTACAACTGAACCCTCAGGGTCCTGATTCACAAAACTCAGCACATTTCATGATTGATTTCTGAGGTTTGTAGACTACTCCCCCAGCTAAGATTTGGGGCGAATGGCTTTTAGAAAGAACGGTGCCAATGAACTTCCTGGAAACAGAGGTGAATTAACAGCAGTAACGGCGTGCATTTGGCAAATGTCAGTGCATAATCCAAACTCACTGCCCTCGAGTCAGTTCCGAGTCACCTAGGAGGGGCTTCAAAACAGATGGTAGGAAAATGGAAGAGAAAGACCATGGGATTTTCCCCACCAGTTTTTTGAAGCCCCCCCAGACAACAGCAGTCAGAACACATGGAGCCTATAGCACAGCACGGCAGGAATTCTCTCCCCTCTTTTGGTTAAAAACAAAAACATCACTGTCAATCATCAGACTCAGGTGATGGACCATCTCCTTTCTTCCTACAGAATGTGTTGGACCAGCACATTTCAACAGACACGTTCTCTTGACAGGCTTTTCTTTAGCGGTGAAAGCTTGGGGACAAGGTGACCCGCTGTAGAAGCAACATCACAGATAAGGTGTTAGAAAGCCAGCACTTTCCTTGAAACACTTTAATGGGCTTGAGTGTTTTTTATGCAGACAATGGAGATGACTCAAAGAGAATGGACGAGAAACTGTGTTTTCAACAGTGAGGGGTAAGCCTCCACGGATCAGGTCCCTGGGAGGTCTTCAGCAGAACATTTACAGTAAACCTTTCAGCTCTGGAATGCAAAGTATAGTACAACGATCACTACGCATTTATAAAACTGCTTAGACAGTAAGTAGTTCCTCCAGAGGCGAGATTTAGAAAATGTACAAGCTAGTTCACAATGCCTTTAGATACAATGTTATTAAAATACTTCCTTAATCATAAAAATACTTTACTATGTACATGTACACTGTATAAACTCTAGATTGGTCTACTGAAGGGAGCCTCCGAGCCTCCAGCGACTTGGTCTTCATCCCCTCCCCGACGGCAGAGAGTCACGACACTCCGGGCTGCGCTTCAGCAACACCGCAGCGCGTCTCCCTCCCGCAGAACGTCTAGTTGGAAGAAGAGTCTGTTTTATTCCCGCTATATTTTACTTTCCTAAACGATGATCCAAGTAACTCTGGGCATTCACATAATTCAGTTGCAATCTGGTTGCACTTCATCATAAGGCTGTAATTCATTTCATCAGTGATGAGACTGTCTTGCTTGTAGTCCGGATGATTTGCGACAAACTCCCTCATCCACCTGGCAACTGTCATTAGCTCTCCTGGAAAGGAGAGCGGGGAGGGGGTATAAATTAGGACCATGGAAGTTAACAGAGGGCTCGTTTGTCTGAAAAAAAGCGACACTGAGTGACCAGGAGAAACACAACTCTACAGCAGGGTCCATGTGACCTATCAATGTAGCTGCCAGGGCGTGGGGAGAGCGTCAGGCTGCAGGCAGGCAGGGGCAACATGTACAGCCAGGTGCCGTGCTGCCACACGGTGACCCTGCCCGCGTGCACAGGTGCTCCCCTGTGGCCGGAGCCACTGTGAAGACAGAAGCTGGTGTGTGAGGAGGTGTCAGGAGGGCTGTGGAGCTGAGTTCCCCAGAGAGCTCTCGAACAAGTAGGAAGAAAAAATGAAGACAATCAAGAGACCGAGTGGATGGAGGAAAACCTACAGCTCCACCATCTGGAGCAGGGTTGGGGCAGATATAGCCCAGGGGCCATGTGAGCTCTGCCAAATCATCGATCCCAGGCAGCTTCACTCAGCTCACCAAAGAGCAGCTGGCCAGCCGTCCCACTAGGGCTGAGTTAATTAAGGGCTTGGCCAGTCTGGCCCGTAGGGTTGATGTGAGAAGTATCCAGATGGCTCTTGGCCTAAAAAAGGTCCCCAGCCCGGGTTTAGTGGGTGGTGGGTCTACAGCCATTCGCTGGGACTCCAAGACGTGGGTGCCATCATTGTGGCTATTGCTGCTAGCAACCGTGAGGGGTCACCTTGTGCAAGCCCTGCGTTAGAAGCTGTAAATGTCATCTGAAGACCCAGAGAGGAGGGTTCTAGAACAGCCCCTGGGTGAGAAAGGCAGGCGAAAGGACAGAACAGGATAGTTCCAGAGCAGTAATTACTACCCGAGAAAAGGACTTAGTCCATGATTTAAACATGCCCAAGACGAGACACAGCAAACACAGGGCAGCATGGATGACAGGTAACCCCGACACTGGATTTCATGGTCGAAGATGCCATCGATTCTAGATGCACCTTTCACTTTATCAACCAGTGAGGAGAAGAAGAAAAAAAGGCCTGCTTATTATCTAACTGCAGTGGCCAAAGATGACAGAGTGTGTCCAATCACAGACATGTTAAACCAGGACAAAATGGGCGTCAGTAAAACACAGCATCCTGTAAATGCGGGCTTTCAAGTAACCTGAGTGTTGTGAGATCCCAGCCATAACCAAGAGATAGAAAAGAAAGGGGAAGGGGACCCTACCAGACGCCCTCTTCTTAATGAGCTTCAGGTAGTTCAGAATACTGCATCTGGTGTCCACATCCACTTCCATGTTTTCAAGGTAGGAGTTCAGAATTGGGATTAGCCCAGGAAACACCCCTTCCTACAAAGAAACAGCAGTTATTAGCTCCCTGCCAGGGGTGCTGACTGGGAGGTGAGCTGTGGGGAGGGGGATGGGGAGCAGGCCCCTACCTTCCCGTTGATGATGGTGTCGATGCTCATTAGGGTGTACTCCTCCTGGGCCAGCTCAGGGCTGCTCTGGGCCTTGCCACAGCTGTCCACCACCGCGTTGCCACCTGCTGAAGAGAGGGGAGAGGAGCTAACAGTGTCCGGCTTGCAGCACACACTAAGCCTAGAGATCCAAGAGAATGCAATACCTTTGCAAATGTCTTTCCTGAAGTAGAACAATCCCCGTAAGACAGCATCTCGTTTCTGCGCAACTTTCATGTTTTCGTCCACCTGAGGGAGAAGAGTGACCCCGGCTCCATCAACATGGTCTTGACCACACACAGCAGTGGCAGTGCCTTTGTCCTGCTGCAGTCGGCCTCCCCGAGAACCCCACTCCCTTCCAATGTCTGGTCGCCAGGACAGACTTCAACTTTCACGTGGGGCCTTTTTAGTGACAACGGAGGAATTCTAAGAGAAGCTTACTAACAAAGACATATTTTTGTGAAGAACACCTACATTTCAGAGCACTTCTGTGATTGTATCGTGCTTGAAGGGTGCTTGAAGGGAAGGGATGTGCCTGGCCACAGCACGGTGACCAAAGGTCCCGGGGAAAAAGAACCACAGAGCAGGGCTAGAACCCAGCTCTCCCAACGTCGGACCTGTCACCAGTGCTCTTCCCATCATGCCCCTGGGGTCCCAGTGCCTCGCTTTGGTGACGGAAGGGAGCGGAGAGAGGCAACAGGCTGCTGGAGTGAGGGATGAGGTTGGCAGACGGTGGGGCCAGGCTCGTGGTCCTCCGTGGGCAGAGAGCGGCTGCTAGTGGTCTCTGCAGGGAGCCTGTGGCCATGCCAACTGACCAACACAAATTTTTTTACTTTTCGGTGAATTCTTCATTTTGCCAATGAATTTTAAGACCCTCACAGTGGAACTTTTAAGCTTTTTCACTGTAATCCCTCGTTTTTTCCCCTATAATGAAATCCTAGGTGGAACACCTCAATACATGAAACCAGTAGGTATCATTAGAGGTTCAAGTTGAAGTCAGTTACGTGGCACCAAGTCTCAGGAACTTAGTTTTTCCCTCAAATACATTAATTATTTTTTACAGACCCTTATAAAAAATGGGCATTTTTAGGAGCACTTCAACTAACAGTCTAAAACTCCACCATGGTTCCAAACACCCCTTTTCATTTATGAAAACATTTGTTTGCCCTTCTTAGCCTTGATAAAATGTCTGCTTTTAAAAAGTACATTCTAGAATTAAAAAAAAAATTTCAACATTGGAAAAAAAATAAGTACATTCAAAAGATATGGAAAAAATAATCTATAACTTATCAAGTGTTCGTGAGGGAGGGTGGGCAGGGGAGGGAGGCGGAAGAAATGGGGAGCCGATATCAGGGGCTCAAGTGGGAAGAGAATGCTTTGAAAATTATAATGGTGGCATATGTGCAAATGTGCTTGACACACTGGAGGAATGTATGGATTGTGATAAGAGATGTAAGAGCCCCCAATAAAAATTTTTTTCGTACATTTTATTATTGCACTCAATTCTGAAATTGTGTATCTAACTGTTTAGGTTCATTTATTTTCCATCTTTTGTTTTCAGAGAAAACCACTTAGCTATGGGTTTCCCTCCCTGTATCACTTTGCCAACACCTCACTTGCCTGTTCTCTCTGACCCAGGCTGTGGTTGTCAGTTCTGCCTTCTTCTTTCATCTAAAAGCTATTTGGAAAAACCGTTTTACTCCCAGGTGTTACATTTCTCTTGGACAGCTTTCTGCAGGGCTTTGATGGGAAGGTGGCCTGGCCGGCCGTCTCCTTTCAGGAAGTGAAGGCTTTCCCTTGTGGTGAATCGGCTTTGTTGTGTAGCTGGACTGACATCTTGTCCTCACTGGTAAAGTGTGCCTGCTGTTCTTCCTGTGGGCCCCTGGCCACCTGTCAGTTCTGACTCAGCGGCTCCACTGAAGGGGCAGAGGGCTCCTCCTGGTGGCCGAGGCTGCAGCTCTCCACAGGGGTAGACAGCCTCACCTCCCGACTGTGTGTGTGTGTGCACAGCGCCAGGGCACAAATTAAATACACAGCAGAGGTCAAATACAGTGGTTTGGCGTTTGCTGACTCGGTGTCCGTTAGAGTGACTAGCGAGCACCGAGGACACTTAGTACAAAATCTGCTGTCACACCCGGCTCCTTTGCCAGGAAAACGACCCCAAAAAGCTCCTTTCCCCCACCTCTGCGGAGCCAGGGGCTCATCAACTCCCACCTGAGGCTCTGATCACCTGAAATCACCAACTTCATCCAGAAAACAACGCTGGTGTCCAACAGAGAGAGCTTGCCCTGCATTCCAGCAGCCAAACCCCTCCCTCCGCCGCCCAATTTCCCTATTGTGGTCACAATGGGGACTTCTGGGAGACAGACTCATCTGTGAGACTCACTCTGATCACCTTGAACAGAAAGGCTCTAGATATAAGTGGTTGTTCAAATCCAACCCTAAAACTCTCTGGAGCGGACCGAATAACCAGCTCCTGTTATCGACCCCGGCCCCAGGCGTCTCCACCTGCACTACTCTACAGCTTAGGCTGAAAATCAAAGCTGCATCAATAAGGAGGCGGGTGGAGCACTCCATTTCAAAGCGTTCCATTTGTTCAAATGGAACAGATGCTCCATAGAGAGGATCACACACAGATCTGCAGATGTCCCCGGCACCGCGACGATGGACTACATCTTACCTTTGACAGCGGGATGAGAAAGTCCAGCTTGTAAGAAAGGATCACTCTGGTGAGCAGTACCACAAACACCACATACGCCGAGTTCTCAAAGTCTGTCAGCTGGACCTAGACGGGCAGAGATGTGGCGGCTCAGCCGGGGCCCTTCTCCGAGTCAGGCCCCTCGGCCTCTCCTTCCTGAGCCGTCTGGAAGCTCTCCACCCACATCTATTCAGAGCTCAACCCTGCATGGCTTTTGGACTTGCTTTCGACCTGCATCTCCTTGGCTTTTCCTGTTTCCCACTGCAGCCGAGAGCCCTCTGACCACAGGAGGGGCTTCTTCTGGGCCAGCTCCAGCCAATGCCTGTATCTTACCTCCATGGGCCGGAATTCTACTCTCCACCCAATATCCGAGTTTGGAGGAGGGGGCTTAAACCTCATCGTCTGCCAATTTGTGGACTGAATATTCTACAATGAAGAGAGCAGAGATGCAATCAATGGTCCACACCTCCAGGAAATATGAAGACGGTCTGGCATTTAACTGGGAAGGCTTCAATGCCCACACCACGTGCTCTTCCAGTCACAACTACAAAGAGGTACAGTTTTGCTGTCTTGGAGTGTGTCCCACTAGGAAGACACGACAGCAAGCTTTTAACAAAAGCCAGGTGGCGCGTCGGCAGCACTGACGCAAGGGCTTGTGTGATGTCGTGGGGCACGTGCTTGAAATGCACATCACTTGGCAAACAAAATACAAAACAGAAATGAAGTGTTAGACCTGAGAAACAACCTGCAAAAAGCGTAAAGTAAGGCCACTTGAAAGCAACTGTTAACTTCTCTCTCCTCTTCTGCGCAAAGGGAATGAAAGGCCCTGGAGCCTCCTGCACCGTCCCTTCATCAGGCCTTGGTTTACGAGGTAAAAGTGCATCTGAAACAGAGGTGATACCTCAAAATGGTCAGACTCGTTGGCATCATCCAGGTGTATCTTCTCCTCAAACAGAGTCAGTGGGTCTCTAATAAAGAGGTGAGCAACATGCTGGGCCAGGAGATGGTCAATGCCTGCAAGGACAAATCACACGAGACTCACTCCACAGCGGGAGATGCCAAAGCTCTAGAAGCCCAGCAAGGAAGCAAGACAGAGCTCAGGAGGCTTGAACAAGGGGCATCTAGACAGGTGGGCAACAGCTGGCTTGCTCGGTGCGCTTGCCTCACCCAGGACTTTGTGCCCCGGGCACTGGGGCATGTGCGTTTCCCTCACTACTTACACAGGCCCGCTGGGGCACTGGTGTGGACCTAGACTCAGCTAAGAGTCAAGAAGCTCTCACAGTATCTGGAACTTGGAACTTCAGGGACCAGCAGCCCCTAAGGAAAGTTACAGACATCACACTAAAAACAGAAACCAGAGCAGGAGTCAGCGACCGACGCGCACAGGAGCCGCGAAGGCCACAGGCGTAAAGCAAATCTAGACGTCGGGCCAAGCGCTCACCTTCCCGCCGTAGCTGCTCGTAGATCTCTTTATCGATCGTCAAGTCGATATCATTGTATTTCTCCCCACACTTGGACAGGTAACTGTCAATTGAATCGTAGCGGGATTTACTGATCCTATAGCTGTTGTTCTTCAGCGGCTTAAAAAAAAAAAAGAAAGCCTTATAAAGGGATTTGAGGGGGAAAATAACGCCATAAATAATTATATTTAAATGATAAATATTTTTATACACGATAATCGAAAATGTCCAACCATGACCTAAGATACGGATTACATTAGGAAAATAAACGGCAAGGTCAAAAGTTGGGGGGGGGGAATCATTAACATAAAACAAAGCTCTCAAGAGGATTTATCCTTTACAGTTTATTTCTCTTAGAACAATTACAGAGATGAGAGCAATGGCACAGCCTTGGCGGGCCACATAATACGGTGCTCGTATCACTATATAAGGGGCCCCATGCCTACAGGTAGGTATTCATTGACTGGGAGTGTA